GGTTAACACTTTCCTAATTTATTCGATATTTTGGTTCAGCTTATTGAGATTTGTTTTTGACAAAGTTTAGATACTACGGAGACATCGTAGACGCTTGTTTGTAAACAATGACCCGCTATGGCCATCTGACGCATGCGCAGGTGACGACTCCCCCCCCCCCCCCGCTTTAAATTTTATATTTGTGAACGTGTATTGTGAGTACAAGATTATTGTGACTATTTAAATATAGGTTGCTAACTGGCCGTGTGAAGACAGTGTATACGTAAATAGAGAAACCTGCGTATAAACAGGTAACAAGGAGAAGTTGTTTTCCAGTCACTGTTACATAACAGTGAGTTTAATCACAGAGGAATAAAACTTGTCATACAAACAGCACTATGATATACTACTCATAGTTGAAAATGTTTTCGATTGCGTACCACGGCCGCAGTGAAACGAGCAGGTTTACTGGATCTCCCATCAGAGATGTTTCCCCACGCTGAATAGAGACATTGTGACCGTTTTTGTTCTGGGTCTTTTTTTAGTGTCTAGCATGCTATTTTAGTTAATTTTGCTATTTTTAATTTTGTTTTGTTTCGATAATTCAAGATGTCGCAACTTTGAAATAAAGTATATTATTGTAATGAGATGTTTGGCATTTTAGCTAATTTAGAATTATGTTATTTCCCAGCTTGCGTTGAGTCAGATTCGCTAAAATGGCAAGTAGCATTTTTGGCATCTTTCACATTAGACATATTGGGGGTTTAACTATTTATTGGACATCAAATTTTAATTTGGCCGTGGTTATGTAAAAGTAGCGTGGTTTCATAAATATTCATAAACCCTTTGTTCTTAAGTCGGTGCACGTGAATTTCAGCATCTTGAACGTATAGATGTATTGTTCACTGTCTTCTGCAGTCTGTCGACAAATATACGTCACTAGACTTTCAACGAAATAACATGAAGTCTAGCATTGGAACAAGCTATTTGGCGCCGCTATTAAGATTCTCTTCTGACTGGGTGGCGATTTTCAAGCGTTACCATAGCAACACAAGGTTCACGTTCGTACGCACTTCGGTTGAACAGTCACATCTCGTAATTACGGGTCGAGTGTGCTATTGTTCTCGTATAACAATGCTTCTCGTGATCAAGACGATTGTTAGTTTTTTAAGCCCATTAAAATAAGGCGGCATGACCTCAGGCGACCCACTGGTTGTGTATTGTAATGCTTTGTCTCTGCTCTGGGCTTCGCAGCTCGAGTGGCCATCGTAATTTTCGTGGATTTCAGTCGCGTCAATAAGATAGATTACATGTTGTCATTGAGGTCAAATGCTGTTAAAGTGAAGGTTACGTACCGCTATGCTGTCGCATATTCGAATCAGTTAAAGACAAACATAATCCATGCTATATCCATGATGACGTTGTTAGCTTAAAGCGGGGGAGTCGTCACCTGCGCACAGCGTGTCGTTGTTTACAAACAAGCGTCTATCCATGAGTTTTTGCATTTTTAGCGTGTGTTGTTATCGTCGCCTGGGACTCAATTCCCGCGCGTGCGCAGGTGACGACCCTCCTACTTTAAGTGCAGTTAGTAAAACAATGTAAAATGTGTAAACCGAGCCGATCTACAAAAGTACCTAGTTTATATATCAATAGCGTGACGCGACCACTGAATTCAAGATACTCTGATGACGTGCTCAAGATGTAACATGCTACTGTGTTTGTTTTTAAAATGCCGTGAAACCGAAAACCTGACA